TATAGCCATTTCTTTGTGGACAATAATATTTTACCTCTCAACAGTGGTTTCACACTATTAATGTATGCCTTTAAAAAGTCTGGTCGTTTTCAATAAGTTACATTTTGCAATTTGTAAGCATGGTTTTATGTTATTAAAATCAATTAAAAAATCCTTGGTCATTGTAATAGCTACAATCTGTTTTTGTCATCTATTCTTTGCGCGGTTCTTTCTTTTGTCTCCGCTCGTACCCCTGATGGATCACTGCGATTTAACTGACATGTCTCAACCTACTGTTTATGTTTCTGGTTGTTCGAAGATCTTGGATGATGGTGAAGAGCTAGTAATGGATAAATCTGCTTACCGGCTTTATTCCAAACTAGATCTTGAATCTTCTTGCCTTAGTTTCGATATTATTCCTGATAACTTAGGTAACAATAGAATCTGTGAGGTTAACGGTGAATCCGTTTCATTATATCTTTTGGTCGGTTCACAAGCTTGCAGGAGGTCTCTCAACAAGCTTTCCATTCTGCGCTTGGAAGGCATAAGTCCAATGACAAAGGTTAGTTTTACTAGCACTGGCGGCGTTAGAACCTTAACTAGGCATTGCTCCATTCCTTTATTTTTAGAATGACCCTGATTCTGAATCCACTGAAGATGATGAATCTGGTAGTTCAGACAACGAGAATTGTGAACAGGAAATTGAAGCCGCATCGATTAGACACAATGGTACTGTTAATCGCGTCAAGTCTCTATTACTTTCTGATCGATATTTTGCCGCCTCCTGGTCTGATGTCGGTCATGTTTGTATCTGGGATCTTAGTCGACCTCTTCTCGCAGTTAATGATTCTGCAACAATGTCCGAATACGTCAGGAATAATGAGTCTCCCTCCCCTGTAATTTCATTTAAGGGTCATAATGGCGAAGGTTATGCTTTATCATGGAATAAACACCCGCTAGCGAATGGTTACCTTGCCTCAGGAGATTGCAAAGGGTCCGTGTATACATGGACTCCTTCAGTAAGTCGAGCTGACCATTATTATAAAAAAAT